CTCGTCGACGATGATGAAGATGACAAGGATGCCTCCTCGTCCAAGACCGGTAATAACCATGGTCACAAGCGACAACGTCACCGCAAGAACGACCGCAGTGGCAAAGGCAAACCGACTGCTGATTCGTCGTCGTTCCCATCTTCGTCTAACTCTGGCAAGAAGACTTTCCACTGTGACAATCACGGTGAAAATCGCTCGCATGATACCAAGAACTGCAGGCACTGCACCAAGTGCAACAAGAATGGCCACACTGCCCCCTACTGCAACAGTGATCGCAAGAAGAACTCTGACAGCAAGGGCGGCAAGAGCTACAAGAACAAGAAAGAAGGTAAATTGTCTATACCTCCTTTTTCTGAATCTGAATTTTTCTCTGTGTCTGATCAAACCTTGCTCACTCATGCTACTATTTCTCTACAGACAAGTGAACCTGAGGACCTCGTAGAGACGAACGACATGACACTTCCCTCTCCTGTCATAACAGAACTTAGTAATAAAAAATTACCACTGACTGGTTCTAACACTATCCCTATTGGTCCAATTCTGTCTCCTTCACTTGCTGTCCATACTTCTTCAGCAGAAGAAAATAATGTGTCTGTGACTACAGAAAATGATTTGTCTGTAACCCCTATACCGGATAGCGAACAATCAGTTACAACTGATAAGGATGTACCTGCACCTACGAGTGCACGACCCCAATACGCGTTTCGCTCATTGCCAACAAAACAATCTGCCTTTGTCTCTGTGCCATACTTTGAAACAAAAGAACCGTCTTTTGCTAGCCTGTCTAACCTTGCTTCTCAAAGTCAGGCTAACATGGACTACCACAGTGACGATGACAGTAGCTTTGGTATGACGACTGAGGAACTCGACACTTTCGCATCTGACAAATTAACTATCAGACACTATGCTGCTATTAAGGATGTAGTAGAACACGACAATAGATTTCGAATCGAAATCCGTGCATTCAAGAGGACACACCACGCGTTAATAGATACTGGTGCTACACATTCTTTTATCAGACAGGACATAGTCAAGGAACATAACATTCCTTTCACTAAGATCCTTGGTAATTTTACACTAGCAAACAAGACTATTGTCGAACGCATTGGTGTAACTGATCAAGTTGAATTCGAATTCAATGGTCGGTTTCTCTCTGCCCCTTTTGAAATAATCGAAGATCAAGAGTTTGCTCTTACAATCGGAATGGATCTTTTTTATCATATGGGCTTCGCTCTCTGCGGTCTCCCAGAAATAAAAGAGATGTCACCTGCACATGATGTTCCCGTTGAAGACGAGAAACCATCTTTGCGTCCGATTACCACCCCTGAAGAGGAACTCACCGCTGAGTTTAAGCGCATGAAAGGAAGATTCCTAGATGCCATCAGCAAAGCACTCAAAGACAATGAAAATATCTCAAAGACAAGTCATTGCCCCGTTCCTGAGATGATGGTGTATCTACCTGTTCCAAAAGGTACCATTGTATATCGACGACCTAGACGATTTGCTCACTCCCAGAGACCCATATTGGATGAAACGGTCGCACGCTGGCTAGAGGATGATGTGATCGAGCTTGCACCTGCTGGCAACCCACATAACAACACCCTCACACTTGCAGCTAAAAAGGATTTGGATGGGAAAAAGTCATTGTGGCGAGTGTGTCTTGACCCTCGTGCTCTCAATGTACATTTACCAGAGGATAATTTCCCTCTCCCTCTCATCTCCGATATTATGCAAAAAGTAGCTGGTCATTCCATCTACAGCACCATCGACCTTACACAGGCGTACCATCGTCTACCTATTCATAAAGAAGACAGGCACCTCACTGCTTTCATGCATGAGGGAAAACAATACATGTTCAAAAAGGCCCCCTTTGGTCTGAAGCCACTCTCGAGCTTGTTCCAAAGAGGTATGTCTCGCATCCTTGACGATTTGCCTTTTGTTCTGAACTTTATTGATGACATTGTTATCTTTTCAAAGAGCAGAGAAGAGCATGCAGCTCATGTCAAATGTGTGATCGAAAGACTCAACGAGGCGAAATTGATCATCAACAAGAACAAGTGCAATTTTTTCAGCACACAGATCTCTCTGCTGGGATTCATTGTTGATCTCTTTGGAAAGAAAGTCGACCCTACCAAGTTGGCTAACATTCACGAATGGGCACCACCTACCACCGCCAAACAAGTGCAATCGTATTTGGGTACCCTCAATTTCTTTCGTGAATATATCCCTCTCTACAGTACTATTGCTGCACCACTTGATGCACTTCGTCATAGAGAAGGAACTTTTAAATTATCAAAAGATGAAATGGATTCTTTCAATGGACTCAAGGAACTACTTGTACGAGCTCCCGTGTTATCCTTCCCAGACTTCAGTCGACCGTTCTACGTTGCCACGGACGCGTCCAACGTTGGAATTGGTGCGGTACTGTATCAGTTGCCGGAAGGTGTACCCGAACCGAAGGATATGCAGTCCGTTCCCTCGAACGTCAACTACATATCTTTCATGGCTCGCACTCTGCAGGACCGAGAGAGAAAATATTCCGCTACTAAGAAGGAGTTATTAGCGATTGTTTTCGCATTGAAAAAATTCCATCAATATCTTTGGGGTTACCATTTTACCTTGTTCACCGATCATCGGGCTCTTACTTTTCTTCACTCACAGCAAGATTTGAACCCAATGATGACAACTTGGTTTGACACCATCATGGCTTACTCGTTCAACATTGTTTACCGTCCTGGAGTACTCAATGTGTTACCTGATGCGTTATCTCGTCAGTTCCCTCAGAAGTTGTGGACTGACAGGCCTAAGTTGAAAACACCAATGAAAGTGTACGGCTACATTCATATGCTGAAAGACAAATCGGTTCCTAGAATCACTGTCGCAGCGAAAGACCGTCCTTCACTCATGACTGAGGTTCACTCCCTCGGTCATATTGGTGCGAACAAAATGGTTGACAAAATTCACGCCCAAGACAAGACGTGGCCATTCATGGTCAAGGATTGTCTTGAGCACGTCAAACAATGCCCTGAGTGTCAACGCATTAATATCACTCGCAAAGGGTACCATCCCCTCAAGGCTATTCATGCACATTTACCAGGCGAGCATATGACTGTAGATCTCGCTGGTGAATTCCATTTGTCCTCGAAAAACAACAAATATCTTCTCGTCCTGACAGACGTATGCACCCGCTTCGTTATTTTGAGAGCTATACCTGATAAAACAGCCGCTACTGTTGCGACCACGCTGTTTGACATTTTTACTCTGATCGGATTCCCCCGAGTCCTTCAATCAGATAACGGAAAAGAATTTTCCAATCAGGTCACAAAAATAATGACAGAACAATTGGGTATCCATCACCGTCTTGTCACACCCTATCATCCGAGAGGCAATGGACTAGCCGAGAACCGGGTTAAAGCGGTCAAAGAAATTCTTCGAAAAGAGACCAAAGGCAAAAACCACGAGTGGGATCGTCATGTTCCCATGGCCCAATTTGCCCTCAATGCAAATATTGCGAGTTTGCATGGTTCCACGCCTTACTCTCTTTTCTTCGCACGCAAGGAAAACGGACACTACAACTACACTGACCCCTTGAACCAGGTCATGTCCCACGAAGACTTGCTGAAGAGACTCGAATTTATGACTACGATCGTGTTCCCCGCTATTGAAGCGAAGGCGAAATCTAATCAGCGGAAAATGATTGAGAGATTCAATAAAACGATACTGCACAGCGAATTTCCTGATGGTTCCACAGTTATGGCGGTTGATCCTATCAAAGGAGACTCCCTCTCTCCGAGATATGAAGGACCGTTTACTGTTGTTCGTAAAAACAAGGGCGGTGCATACATCCTCAAAGATGGCACTGGCTCTATGCTTGGTCGTAACTATGCGCCCTCGCAGCTCAAACTTGTATATGAAGACCCAGACTCTTTCCTTACGTACGAAGTCGAGAAAGTTCTTGACGCTCGTAGTACAAAGGAAGGGACATGGGAGTACTTTGTCAAGTGGAGAAATTATTCTGATAACGACAACACCTGGGAACCAGAGGACAATTTTGTTGAGAGGAAATGCATCACGGACTATTGGGCCGATCACCCACCCCGTAATGAGGATCCTCGTCCGCACTCTCGTCATGATTCGCAAACGGATCAGCCAATGCTTACTACCGACGAACTAATGAGCGAACCTCAAAGTAGCAATCGCTTGAACACAAAGAAGAACAAGTTCACACCTAAAAAAGGTGAACACAACCTTAATCGCAATAAGCTCACTCAGTCCAGTCAATCAAAAATCAATGAGTTGAGACCTAGAACTCGTTCTCGGATCGGGAAGGATTGAAGACAATCATATCCTCCGATTGACACATAAAACGCATCGACGTTTTGTTTGAACAGAAATCGCTCTGACGATTTGTTCGAGGTTTTTTAATGGTGTCACAACCTTTTTCCTCACAATAATAACATACATCTGCAGAGGTTTTCTCGCTTTCCTCTTGCAATCAAATTCACTATATTGAGGTTTTTATTTTTTCCTCACAGCTTATCAACTTATCTACCGAGGTTTTTATTTTTTATCCTCACACACACATATACACATATTCTACTGTAGTCATTATTGTCTTTTCTACACCTGCTCTCCAGGGCTTTGCCCTTCCAAGGTTTTTTCGATTTTTTCCCTTACACCCCTTCTTTCATATGAGGTTTTCTTTTTTCCCTCAAACATCCAAACGACAACTCTTTCGTTTAGTCATAGCACTCTACTCCACGTCGTTTTGTCAGTTAGTAAGAAGCACACACAATTACTAGCATAGATACACTACTTCTAGCCCTAGTCTTAAACCCGGCTTACAGCCTCTCCCCCCGTGGAGGGTTATGTGCTATAATCACGTGTATCATTAGGACGAAGAGTACATAAGGACTCTTCGTCCCTGAATTAAACAGATCCCTCTCTTTGTTTCGTTATTCCTATTCCCATCATAACCTTTACTATCACAACCCCGGTTATTATTCTCCAGCGCCTACATATCCCTTTGATTCCCTGGTCTTGATATGGTCGACTGCAATTGCCGTTTTCTTAAGCTCCTCTGATTGGGCGGGGTTCATTCGACCAACGTTGACGATGCTCCGTATGCACTTTTGTTGGAAGTGCGGGACTGCCAAGATAGCAAGGACATAGATGACTGTATCCGGGCGCCGCTGCTGCTTGTCTCGGAAGAAATGACGCTTGAGAGTATTGTGCCAGGACTCTATGTAGTTGTTCGTGTCGATAGAAGCATAGGATACGTCTTGACGGTAGCAGAGCATCCAGCTCTCTTGTGTCTCCTTGACCTGCCACTCGTGTGCCTTAAACATCGACCTGCCAAAGTAGTTCTTGTCGAGATACTTCAAAAGAGCCGTCTGATCGCTCCAGGTCTTGCGGAAGGTCTTGATGTGTTCTTGAGCCATCGCTATATCCCTTTCATACAAAATCTTGCGAAGATCAGATCGGAACTAGAGGAGTTGGTAGAAGATAATATACATTGTCAATAAAATTGTATCACTACATGGAACTAACGCATAGGTTTCCAGCATTTTTAACCTTTTCACGAACCTGTTTTTTGATTTCATCTCGTTCATCAGCTGGATGGTTTTTTAGTCCCGTCATCATGCTCTTGACCTGACGTTCCCACACCTTTAGGACGTGCCATGCGCAATAGAAGATGGGCACACCGGGGAAAGCGGTCTTGATAGCCAGAATCTCAGAACCGCCTTGGCGGCCCCTTCATGTGCAGAGGATATAAAAAGGCATATAAAAAATATCCAAAGTCCAAGGAACGGAGTGTTGACTTCCATAACTGGCATATCTCTTCATAGTGGGCAACAGAACACAGAATAAAATAGCAATAGACAGCACAAGAATTTTTAAAATGTAATCTCTCCCCTGTATTTCACGAAAAAGATACAGTTGAGAATACAAGTGCTTTAGATGATCACATACAAGAACTACTCTGTCGAATCTTGCAGTGAGGGTTACAGGTTAATAGTAGATGGACACATTCAAGAGTGTAGTGTGCGAAAAATAAGAAGACTTTGTTGTTTGGAGAATAGGTTGGTGTTTAGTAGGATAGTTAAACAAAAAATGTTACAATGGTTGTCTTATATGCTTGGTATCATATATACATTCTCCTCTAATGGACGCGGTGGATATCGTCAAGATCTGCAGAGATGTAACAAACACCATATGATAATTTGGACTTGAAAGGCCTCCTTGGTCCGTGATAACGGCGTTGGGACGGAGATTATACTCTTCTTCGTCGGTGGAGAAGAGATCCTTCATCTTTCTACAAATGGCAGTCAACCAACTTGATAAGATGAAGGCGTCGCAAGTCATTGTTAAAAGAAATGCGACAGGAATGCCAAACCCTGTATCTGCATTCTTTAGAACAAGAGTGAACAAGTTCGTTGCATGCCTAATGCAAGTAATAGAGCAGAATGAGTAAGACGACTAATACAAATATATCGCTAAAGCAATGTATAGAGGAAAATAAACGTACCCAAACACATTATGGGTTCCATCGAAGCATAGCGTTCTTCCATGGGTCTTGAGCTGCTGTAGTTGCCATAAGGAAGCGAACCCAAAATATCGGCCACTCGTTCTATCGTGCCTGTCGTAAAAAGTGAAGCCATTGTTGCCTTCGAATTCCTCCATCCACTTTATAGACGACAAAACTGGATCCGGGTCCTTTCTCATTGCAGCGGCCGTGATCCCGTGCCATATGTTGTAGACGTCGTCGTAAGTTATGAAGTCGTCCCGAGACAACTGCTGGCCGTTTCCTCGCGTGATCTGCGTGAATTTATCATAGTCCATCGTCAGCTGTTGCATTACTCGTTGGATGGTGGATCCTTGCTTTAATAAGTGCTCGATCGTGACCTTGATAGCTGCCGACTTTTGTCGTGTGCCAAGATCGGTGATGTCGCCTAAGGAATGGTTATGTTGGTAGCGGTACTCAACAATACACCCTGGCATACTAGAGCCATCCAGCATTAGGATCGGCTGGAACAGGGCAGCGATCCTTGATAAGCAGCCCTGCTTAATCGAGGGTGCGCGCATTCTACGCTTGTCAGGCTCAATGGCAGCGTTCACGCGTACTTGCTTTTTGCCAGCGCATTGGCAAGCAAAAGTAAGGCGATACTGATGGTCCGGGTCTTTATAATCATGCCTCCTCAAGAAGGTGAAGTTGGTTGAGATGCTTCTTTGATGATCCGCCAACCAAGTCTGGAAGCGGTCGGGGCAAATAAAGAACTCGGCTACATCCGCGTCAAGCCTGACAAACGGGAAGGCTGGATCGCGCTTAAAGTGCTTTGCAGAGCTAAGGATCTCTCTGTCGCCATAGCGGCCCCTTCATGTGCAGAGGATATAAAAAGGCATATAAAAAATATCCAAAGCCCAAGGAACGGAGTGTTTACTTCCATAACTGACATATCTCTTCATAGTGGGCAACAGAACACAGAATAAAATAGCAATAGACAGCACATGTTTTTTTAAAATGTAATCTCTCCCCTGTATTTCGCCCCAAAGATACAGTTGAGAGTACAAGTGCTTTAGATGATGACATACAAGAACTACTCTGGCGAATCTTGCAGTGAGGGTTACAGGTTAATAGTAGATGGACATATTCAAGAGTGTGGTGTGCGAAAAATAAGAAGACTTTGTTGTTTGGAGAATAGGTTGGTGTTTAGTAGGATAGTTGAACAAAAAATGTTACAATGGTTGTCTTATATGCTTGGTATCATATATACATTCTCATCCCATAGTCGCTATGGATATTGTCGAGATCTACAGAGATGTAACAAACACCATATGATAACTTGGACCTGAAAGGCCTCCTAGGTGAATGTTTTAAAAAAATATGGGTAATGCAATAATGGTGAGGGTGCATGCATTGTGGAACGTCTCAGATGAAGTTATCGTGGTTTTTATAATGTTTGATGTAACATACTTTGTAGGAAGTTACGATTGTTATAATATTTGTTGATATGCGGCCTCCTATACAGATCGTTGGTAAACATGCCAATGGTGAAAAAATAAATGTCATAAAGAGTGCATGCATTGTAGAACATATTAGATATAGTTATTGTAATTTTCGTAATGTTAAATATAAGTAGATTGTGGATAAACACCACTGTGATCAAGAAAGAAATATTGTAAATTGTGCAAAGGATGGTGGAAGTTTTTAAAAAGATGGGTAATATATCTGGTGAATCTCATTGGAAGGGACGAGGATAATATCACATGTGTATTCCATATATAAAAGCTTTATTTGTGCAAGTGGTATATCTACAGTTTTTAAAATTCTTGATCTACTCTTCTGCGGTCTCAAATGTTACTTCAAGAGGCTTCTTTTCTTCCATCGTACTTTTCTCTTTGGCTTGAATACTATCTAATACACTTTGCACTATGGTTTTTCTGTTGTGAGATCCTTCTTTTGCGAACTTACATAATATATCGGAATGTGGTTCGCGGGAACCAAACTTATCCATGTGCCATGTTTCGTAGTTGGAATAATCTTTCTCCAACAAACCTAGGTGAAAAATTAGTTCTTTTTCTTCTGCATTACCATCTGCCGAAACGTATTCCTCGCGGAGTTCTTCTTCGATAGCTGTTATTTTGCTATATACTTCTCCCATTGCCTTCAGAAAATCATGATGGTCTTTTGTAGTGTAAACACTTGAGGCATTCACATTTTCGCTTTCCATAGGTCCACCATCTTCTAGAGTTTTCTTAACATCCGACTCTTGCACCTCATCATCTACTTTTTCTACAAGTTCATCTAAAGTTTCCTTAATATTCGACTCTTGCACCTCATCATCTATTTTTTCTACCGGTTCACCTTTCTCTGTCGACCTATCCTTAGACCATTGTGGCTTAAAGCCCATAGCAAAGATCTTTTCTTTTTCCTTTTGGTTAAGATTATCATAGTCGACATTCTCTGCACCAATGTGGTCATCAGTCACCAAGCCAACTACAATGTTTTGCTTGCGGATCTTGAGAATGTGCTTTCCATTTACAAGTACATTCTTGGAATACTCCAATTGCTGCTTGTGAAACCTTTTCCATTTCATCTTGGATATATCTGTCGGTCCTTCCACTGGTAGTTCCTCTTCTACTTCGACCTCCTCGTTGAAAAGCATCTTTCTCTCTTCATCAGACATTTCTTGAAGTTTCATCTTGCTAAGCATGGAGCGTTCCAAGATATCCATCTCTGGAACATCACCACCGCCACGCAGATGATCAAGCGTAAACAGGCCAACGTATGTATTCTTTCCACATAGCTTGACAATGTACTTAGCCTTCATCGTAAAGTTAGTTGCATACTCAAGCATGTCGTTATTAGGATGAACCATCCATCCTCCATCCTTTGCAAGTGGTATGTCTTTCTCTGATCTAATGTTACGCACCGTTGTGGCCAGTGCAAATGTGTGTTCATCTTTTTCATCCTTAGAAACATCTACATTAGAAGATGGCTCTGCATTTTTGGGCATCTCTGAATGCCTTTTCTTTCGAGAAGTCTTCTTCTCATCATCCTTAGATGGCTTTTTATGAGATAGTTTTTCATCAGGGTTATCCTTAGAGGTATCATCTCCAGATTCTACATCAGGTCTGTTATTGGACTTGCCATCATCAGAGTCTTTATCTTTAGAGGAATCATCGTCAGAGTCAGCATTATCAGACGTATCACCATCATCTGTATCATCGTCAGAATTCTCATCAGCAGAAGACTCTTCTATTTTTTCTACATCTGCTGAAGTTGCCTCTTGAAGACCCATCTTGGCCAATATGCGTGCCTCTTTCTCAGATATTTCTGGCGCAGGGAGATTCTTGCCCATGAGCTTAGGTGGACACAATGCAATGTAGAGATTCTTTTCCTTTAGCCTAATATTGTACTTGCCATTTACAGTAAAGCTTTTTGCATACAGGAAAGCTGGATTAGTTGCATAACGCGTCCATATACATGTATTAGCGAGTGGTACATTTTTCTTGGACGTTATGTCAACTACCTTTGGACTCAACGGAAAGGAGACGGCAATTATATCTTCTTCATCATCATCATCGGACGGCTCTTCATCCGATGACTCCTGCTTGTTTCTCTTTCGCTTCTTTGGTTCTTCATCCTCGGAAGTCATATCGTCATCGGAAGACACAAACTTAGAAGTATGTGTCTTCTTTAAAGCCTTGGAAGACTTGGTACGCTTGTCGACAGGTGCGTTGTTGTTACTACGTTTTATATAACCTCTATCTTGATCTTGATGACGTCCACAGTATGTTTGACCAAGTTTGGCTACACTACCACAATTAGCACCCTTAATAGTTGTGCCTTGACACTTGCGCGCAGGATCGTGGACATAACAATGCATGCCTTCATCATCAACTTCCTTCATGCATTTGCGCTTGGACTTGGTGCACTTTTCTCCACAAAAGTAGTATCTCTCTACTTCCTCATCCTCATCAAGCGCCTTAAAGATCTTATTTGCATCTTTCTTGTTAAACTCCACTCCCTTCTTAGAGGAGAATGTCTCAAAGGCCTTGGTGATGAGCTCGATTGTAAGCTGAACGTACTTCATGTTTTTGGATATGAATAATATGGATTGTACTTGTGGTATGGTGGGTGTGAATGAGTTTTCAGTTTATGTGTGGTAGATTGCAGCCGCTTAGTACACTGATATAAAGAATTGCAATAAAAGATGGTTGTATAGGTATGGATGGTTGTATAGATATGGATAATTGTTGGTTGGTTACTAGATAAAGATTAAGCAAGAGGGAAGTGGACTCCTTTATTTATACTAATTCAGGAACACTGCCACAATGGACATTAATAGCGCTTGCTTATTAGCACTGCTTGGCGCTTAGTAACAAAAGAGTTTTAAAAAGGCATCTAAGTGGTTAATAATGTAGTGTTCCTCGTATGACGTAGATCTTGCTTATTAAGACTGCTTGGCATTAAAGACGGGGTTTAAAAATGGTTAAGAATGTAGTATTATTTTATGACGTAGGTTTGTACATGTGTTTATCCTCTTAGTTAAATAAAAAGGAATGCTGTAGAATAGCATAGAATAGCATCCGATCTACTACAATAATACCATGGCTTTTAATAATAGATACCGGTGCATATTAGCGTCTTGGCAGTTAATACCGTATCTTAAAGCTGACTAAATAGGCCATGTATGTCTATTCTTTTAAAAACCTGCAATAAGTCTACAGATTACCATTAACATCCATTTGTCGCTTCGTACCTCTAAGCTCAATGGAAAGACCGGGTTGCATTATTACTGCTTGATCCATTGGTGTGTCCTCATCAACATTAACATCAACATCACCATGAAGATTAATACCAAGAAATTTGTTCTGGAGTTGTGCCATTGTATTTCCATCCTCCACTAGCGCACCAACATCAACATATCCCATTGGTTGCTCAACGTCGTTCTCTGTCGTCGGATACTCGAAGCCTTCGCGAAGCCAAGCTGTATGAATTGGTTCTGCAGAAATCTTCAACAAAGCAACCATCTTTTTCATGTTTAAGAGTAATAAAGATAACTTCAACTGCAAATTATATGTTTGTTTCTTATCCACCAACACAGGAGTACGGTTGTTGTGTTTCTCAAATGTGGAACCAAGGTCTGCAAACAGAGATTCCATCTGCGAGCGGAAACTACCAAAGGTGGTATTGTATAACGCTTCTTCCTGTGTAAGTTCCTTGTTCTTCTGTTTACGGTATGGATGAGCGAAATTTTGGACTCTAAGAATATCAGACTCATCTATAAGCCTCCTTAAGAACTGTGGATACCCTCCATCGAGAGCAATGCAATCCATCTCATGCACTCTCTTGTCCAACTTCATCGTTAGCAGCATTGTTCCATCAGCATTGTTCTTGCAAGATGCAGATTTGGAGACAAATAAAGCCATGCCATTACAATCCATTGCTACCTGTGTGCGTAATCCAGACTTTTTCAGCTTGTAAGAGTACATATCAGCACTACTCTCACCTTTGTATGTTGCTCTTGTATCATGACCATCAAGATGCAATGTAACATGCTTAAATAATGGAGGATTCTTTTCCTTTGCAGACAATAGGCGTATTTTAATTGTGGAGAACATTGTTGCAATACAGTTGGTGATGTACTTGTTGTGCAAAGTATATTCTTTCTTATAAAACACAGAGTGCATTGCATGAAAACTACTTTTTGGCATGTGTGGTTCCATTGCTTCCATAGACAGTCCTTTGACAAGATGATAGAGCATTAAAAGACCTTTCTCCACTTCTTTGTATGGACCAGGATACTTAACCTTTGGCCAGATGTCAACAAGAAAGAAGTACACTGGAATAGGACCAAGGCGTCGATTTAGGGTTTCTTTTATTTCTGGCATATACCCAATTTCCTTGCTTACAGTACGATGATTATTACGTGGTGTAATTGTTGGCCATCCAGCGTTGAGGAAAGTCCAATGGTCATCAAGCAGTTGTTGGAAGTGTTTTGTTAGATCCATAATAATATTTATGTATTGGATTGTCATGACGTTAACCAACAATAACAATTTTTTAAAAAGGCTTATACTTAACTGCATACACAACAGCATGTAGGATGGTATCTATCATATAGCAAGCACATAGTTGAGAATACAAATATATTTTTATATTTTTTTCGGTAGCGGCCCCTTCATGTGCAGAGGATATAAAAAGGCATATAAAAAATATCCAAAGCCCAAGGAACGGAGTGTTTACTTCCATAACTGACATATCTCTTCATAGTGGGCAACAGAACACAGAATAAAATAGCAATAGACAGCACATGTTTTTTTAAAATGTAATCTCTCCCCTGTATTTCGCCCCAAAGATACAGTTGAGAGTACAAGTGCTTTAGATGATGACATACAAGAACTACTCTGGCGAATCTTGCAGTGAGGGTTACAGGTTAATAGTAGATGGACATATTCAAGAGTGTGGTGTGCGAAAAATAAGAAGACTTTGTTGTTTGGAGAATAGGTTGGTGTTTAGTAGGATAGTTGAACAAAAAATGTTACAATGGTTGTCTTATATGCTTGGTATCATATATACATTCTCATCCCATAGTCGCTATGGATATTGTCGAGATCTACAGAGATGTAACAAACACCATATGATAACTTGGACCTGAAAGGCCTCCATAGAGAATGCCTCGCATTTTGCTCAGCACCACGCCATTGAGTCCTTCCGCAATGCGCGCTTTCAGTAACTATAGCAGCATTAAAATAAGTCAGTATATAGCAAGATGATAGTCGTGCGCAGTCAGTCAACAAAGACATGAGGGTGAAAGATGCTACTAACCTCCACGTCATTGTCAGTTTTAATATACTCCTTCTTGAGGCCCTCCTCCTCTCCTTCTCCATCCTTCTTGATGTCGTTCTGGTCCTCCTCTCCATCCTTCTTAGCAAACTCCGTTTTGGCGATACCCTGGCCCTACAAGTCAAAGGTAGGTTGGTTAGCATGCTGCAAATAAACCACAATCGCAAGTGATGGCAATTGCACAATATCACTTACAAATTCATTCAGGGCATTGATCACCAGTTGCTCTATTTGACCACGAGCAAGCTTGTCGTTTATAATAGGATCATCAGGGCGAACTTCTGAGGCAGTGACCTGGGTAGTATTAGAGGGAATGGGCTCCATGGTGGAAGGATGAGGGAAAGGATGGGTGGAACGCAGATGCCGTTATTGTTATTTCACGGCGAAATCATGTGACTGTTTAAGGATTGAGTGCAATCGCATGGCCTGTGTAGTAGACTTAAGTGAACTCCCAAAAGTGACCTTTTCAAAAGGTCACTTTCCCTCTGGGTCACTTATTACTTATTCACCTCAAAAGTACCGTCTTCAGAAATAAAAAACCCCTGGTGGCTTGTTGCACCACTGGGACTGTTCTCTCCTTACTGAGCCTTCCTACGGGAAGGTTCAATCTCTATCTCTCTTAAAAAATAAGGAAAAGTTTGTATATCACGTGAGGGCGGAGCCCGAACTAAAAATGTTGTGAGGGCCGTGGCCCTCACCAGTATCTTGCGCGTAGCGCCAGCGCGAAGCGCCTGTGTCTTGCGCGAAGCGCCAGTATTTTGTGAGCGAAGCGAGCGATGGTCACGGGCAAGGCCATCAAGAGTATCTTGCGCGAAGCGCGCCAGTGTCCTGTGAGCGCAGCGAGCGTACGGGCACGGGCTAAGAGGATATGAGGGCGTAGCCCGAATCAAGGGGCTTTGAAGAGGATGTGAGCGCAGCGAGCAATGGTCACGGGCGCGCGCCCTGGCGCGACAATCGAAAGTATCTTGCGCGAAGCGCCAGTATGTTGTGAGCGCACGGGTACGAAAGGGAGAAGATCATGTGAGGGCGTAGCCCGAACCAGAGGACCTTTTTTGCGCCAAGCGCCCGTACTTTGTGAGCGAAGCGAGCAATGGTCACGGGCAAGGCCATCAAGAGTATCTTGCGCAAAGCGCGCCAGTATCCTGTGAGCGTAGCGAGCGTACAGGCACGGGCTAAGAGGATATGAGGATATGAGGGCGTAGCCCAAATCAAGGGGCTTTGAAGAGGATGTGAGGGCGTAGCCCGAACCAGTGAAACTTTCTTGCGCAAAGCCCCAGTACTTCGTAAGGGCAAAGCTGTAGCTGTCTGATACCTGTTGCCGCCTGCGGCAAAAGGAAGTGACCGCTGGAGCGTGGCCGTCTGGGCCATCTAGCGCGAAGCGCCAGTATGCTGTGAACGACCCTTTTCGCAAGCCTACTAAAAAGCAAGAAATCCTCTGGCGTGATGTAGAGCAAAGGGCAGTCAAGGATATCTTGAGTATACTGCGAGTGAGGCTGACCCGAGAGAATAATGAATACAAACAAGGCCAGGGGGATGGCTCCCCAGCTACTAAGCGGCCCCTTCATGTGCAGAGGATATAAAAAAGCATATAAAAAATATCCAAAGCCCAAGGAACGGAGTGTTGACTTCCATAGCTGATATATCTCTTCACAGTCGGCAACAGAACATAGGATAAAATAGCAACAGATAGCACAATTTTTTTTTAAAATGTAATCTCTCCCCTGTATTTCACGACAAAGATACAGTTGAGAGTGCAAGTGCTTTAGATGATCACATACAAGAACTACTCAGGCGAATCTTGCAGTGATGGGTACAGTTTAATAGTAGATGAACACATTCAAGATATTGGTGAGCGAAAAATAAGAAGACTTTGTTGTTTGGAGAATAGGTTGGTGTTTAGTAGGATAGTTAAACAAAAAATGTTACAATGGTTGTCTTATATGCTTGGTATCATACATACACTCTCCTCTAATGGACGCGGTGGATATCGTCAAGATCTGCAGAGATGTAACAAACACCATATGATAATTTGGACTTGAAAGGCCTCCTAAGATGACTATCTAATAAAGGAGGTCAGCTGGGCCCAGCTGGGACCAGGGATATTATTCTTTAAGGCACAACAGGAAACTCGACAGGTATGAGCTCTACATTCCCCAAGCATGCCATTGGCCACAGGTAGTTGTGAAAAATTTACAGTCACACTACACTTGAAAAAGGAAAAAGGTAATAGGCAAGTGGCACCCGTATCTTTAAACGAGTCTTCTTTCAAGACCCTTCAAACACCCTTCAAAGACCCACACCCCCCTCACCCCAGACCCCTTACAGCAACTTCCGGCACCCGTGGCATCGCCCACGGGCAACCTTTCTAGTCCTTACTATGGAGGCCATCCATGTTCGGCTCCACCAACCATAGACTACAGTATAAAAATATCTGTCAACACCTATTAAAACAGTGTGTTCCTTGAGAGTACAACAAATCTCATCAGCTTTTTCCTTCCACCAGTCTCCATTTTCTACATTCACCACCACTACTTTGTAACATCATCTACTTTAGCTGAGAAAGCCTTGGACATGATCATCTCATATTGGAAAGGAAATTACTATCTGTAATATCAAGGATCCAATATGAGATGATCATGTCCAAGGCTTTCTCAGCTAAAGTAGATGATGTTACAAAGTAGTGGTGGTGAATGTAGAAAATGGAGACTGGTGGAAGGAAAAAGCTGATGAGATTTGTTGTACTCTCAAGGAACACACTGTTTTAATAGGTGTTGACAGATATTTTTATACTGTAGTCTATGGTTGGTGGAGCCGAACATGGATGGCCT